CCCCTGCCGTCCACAGCTGGTCTGTTGGAACCTGCCTCAGGAGGCTCACTGCACCCACACGGCAGAGCCTCACTCTTGAGGATAAGGGCCCCCCCACTTTTTTTAACACCGTAAGTGTTTTTCAGATCACTGCACATTAGACACTGTAAAATTAGTGTCTTGTGATAAAGACAGTGCATAATGGCAAAAAGCTACTGTGATTCAGGTCACACTTTTAAATGGATTTGTAGTTTATTCATCACAGCAACATCACTGCACAACATAGGCAAAATGAATGATTGAATTATTCAGGGTCCAAAGCATCATTGGAACCCACAGGGATTCCCTGAACCCCATTCATAATTCCTGCCCTCCAGGGACCTCCAGCTCTCAGGTGGGGAAGCCCTCCTCTGAACAGTCATAAAAGATTGGGACCTACCAGGAAGCTTTCTAAGGCTGCAGAGCGCACAAAGAGCCACCAAGGGACGGCTGAGTGGCGTGTGCAGCTGAGACTTTAAAGGAGTAAAGAGGGAAGAACACAGGCTCTGGAGGCAGACAGCTGCTCAGTCTGCACCCCATGGTTACCAGCTGTGTGACTCAGAGGAAGTGAACTTCACCAACCAAATCCCAATGTCCTCATCTATAAAGTGGGGTTGCCTCACCTGGTCATGGTGGGGACTGCTGGGCACAGTAAGAACTAAACACAGGGTGGCGCTCCTCCTGCCTTTTGAGAAAACAACTGCCAAGTAAGCCCTGCTCTTTAAAATCACATTTAAAAGTGAGGCAGCAACCCAGGAAAGTCGCCTACCCGTGCTCCTCTCGGTGAGGATAAACTGGAATCCTGTGTGTGACCGAGGAAGAAGGCACATGAGTGCTCCTCATACAGGGGAGCTGCTGGGAGTTTTCAGCGGGGGACCCCGCCGCCGTTGTCACCGTGTAGGTTAGAGACCATGTGTATGACTGCATCGGTCCTGCAGAGACAAATTAAGATGCATCAGTCTTAATACAGCTCTCCCACTGCCAGCTCTTTCTTACAGCACTTCAGGGGTTTCCCACTGCTCTTGACCTAAAAGCCGAAATATTTACAAAGCGTATGTCTCTCCGGCCCCCCGCTGACCTCACCAGACGCATCCCCTACCCCCTGCTGTTGTTCTACCTGATCCAACCATAGTATCTTTCTTTCCTTTTTCCCCAGAGTACCAGGATTCCCAGGACCACAGGGCCTTTCCACATGCTCTTTTCTGCAACCGAGAGCCCTCATGCTTCCTTCCTTCATATCTCAATATAGAGAAGCTGTTTCCTAACCCCAGACTGGGTCAGATCCCACACTGCACTACAGTCCTTGATGGTGCCTACCACAATTTGTAATCCTACATCCATTAATGAATGTGATTTGATTAATGCTTATCCTCCCTGCCCCTCAACCCCAGATTATAAACTCCATGAGGGTAGGGGCCTTCTCTATTTTGCCCACCATTGGATCCCCCGGTGTTTAGCATAGAGCCTGGAGGTCAAAAGACTTTCAATAAAATTTTTTAAAAGGAAGAAATGGGAAAGGAAAGATAGGAAGAAAGGGAGGGAGGGAAGGAGAGAGAACAAAAGAAATCTTGGGGCAATGTAGCTCAGACAAGCCTAGCAAAATAAATTCTCAACACTCAACTCAACAGGTGTTAAGGATCCAACAAATTGCTTTAAGCAAACATAAGTAGATTATTGAGCTCTGCTTGCCCAGGTCTTTTTGAAGATTATTAGACAGTGACCCTTACCATGACCTATTCCATACATATTGTTAATTCCACTAATTTATTTTTTAATTGGATACCTTGAAAGTGCTAGGGACTGAGAAGAGAAATTGACAAAATTAAAAACACTCAAGATGCTTAAGAATTTTATGAGATGTTTAGAATTTAAAAATGGTAATTTAAGAAATAACTAATAATAAATAAGCTTATGTTATTTAATAAACTCATAATAACTGGACAATAAACTCATCAAATTAATTTCTGATAAAGTCTAGAATGTTGACATAGTGAAAATAATTAAGCCTATTTTGGAAGGTGGAGGGAATAGGATTCAACTCCTCTGTGTAGACACATGAAAAACTAAATAATTAGGAGGCCAGTTTTAAGAAGTAAAAGAGAAGCCCTGGCTGGTTGTAGCTCAGTTGGTTGGGTTTCATTCCATACACTGAAAGGTCACAGCTCGATTCCCAGCCCGGATTGTGGGCTCAATCTCTGGTAGGGGGCATGCAGGAGGCAGCTAAATGACGTTTTGTTCCCCTATTAATGTTTCTCTCTCTCTCTCCCTCTGTCTTCCTCTCTCTCTAAAAATAAATAAGTAAATAAAGTGACAACGTATTTTTTTTTAAAAAAAGAAGTAAAACAGAAAACTTGATTCACTAATTCTGTATGTTCTGCAACAGATCACTTCTATCTTAAAATTCCTCTGGAAAGATAAAGAAAAGGTTTTCATTTAAAAAATGCCATCCATTCCATTCCAAACACTTTGCAAATAGCACAGGAGAGCAGCTGCCCTGCCACGGAGCAGGGGGAAGGGAAGGGCCGGAGGGTCAGCACTGCGCCAGTTACATGACAGAGACCCAGTAAGGAATACCTCTAAAGGTCTGTGAAAACAGCACCCTATTCTAAATACACGTGTTTATTATTAAAAGAAGTTTCTATTGAACCCTCCTGTAAATTAGAGCATCTTCTGGAATGCAAATAATGTCTTTCTTTTTTTATGAAGTGACACAGATGCAATCCAAGAGCATGAAAGGAGACACCATTTATTGAGCATCTAATATAGGCCAGGCACTGTGCTAAGTGCACTACAGACACCCTCAAAAGAAATAATATCCCCAGGTAGTGAAAGAAGTAGTTAAAACAAAACTGGAGCAAAAAGTGCAATCAGGAATGAGATGAAACATGCATACCCTGAAGGTCCAGGGTCCTTCTAGGTGGGCCTTAAACTTGGCTCGGAGTTTTCCAGGAGAAATGCTATAAAGGGGAGCTGACAGGTTAGGAGCGATAGGACCAGAAACAAATCACTCAGGAGAATACTGTCCTTGGAACTCAGAACACACAGGAATTTCTTTCACACGCCCTTACAATGGACTCCATGTCTTGGGTTCTTAGGACGGTTCCTTATGTCAACACTAATTGCAGGCTACTGACGTCACACCTAAGTCCAGTTCAGGGGAACGTAGCATGTTAAACGTGCCCAAGGCCCCACAGTGAGTGGGCGGCCCAGCGGGGCTCTGAACCTAGTCTGCCCCACCCTTCCCACTAACTCTACCATAATGTCTCTGTCCTCTGGGTCCTAGTTCTGCCAGGGACTCTGTGTAAGCTCCTGGCAAGCCTCTTACACTTTATGAGCCCTTCTTTCATCATCTGCAAAATAGGGATAATAATGTCTATCTTGAAAGACTATTGTGAGGATTAACTGAGATAACATGTCAGAGCCTGGCAGAGGGCAGGCTTTTAATGATAGGCAAGCACTCTTCATGAATTCAGGCATTCTTATGTCAGACCTGCTTAAAGTAGAAATCTCTATATTTCCCATTTCAGGTTGCAATGAAGAAAGACAAGTTTCTTGGGTCAGATTCTGTCACCAGGGATGAAATATTTGAATAGCAGCAATAATTCAGCTAATGACAGCAAACTTCTACCAGGGTTTTCTGTAAAACGCCTGGAGTCCGTATCTGCCAGTATGGCTAAAAGTACCCCTTCCCACTTTGCACATCTACACGGTATTTTTCCTCCAGAAGATGACTTCAGCAGACTGTACATTAGGCATCGCTTATAATGCCTGCAAGAAGACTGGGAGGAAAACCCCCAACATGATCATGTCCCCGGTGATTGAATTTTGCGTGATAACCCTCCTCTATATTTTGAACTGCCTATGAAATTACCATTATAGTTTTTATTAAAACAGGTTATCTTCAAGTGGTAGGAAGAGGGTGGCTTTAAATTTTTTTCTTCATTTTGCTTATCTGTCTTTTTCTATAATGAGTGTGTATTGCCTCTGTGAAAAGAAAAATATTAAACTATGTTAAGCAAATTTTATAATTGGGAATGGAACTGGAGGGTGTAGGAAGTTTGCGAGAACAATGAACCAGCCACATCCAGCAAGTAATTAACCCTTGAAGCCCCTGGGACCTCAGGAGAGCACAGCGAGGTCAGTGGGGCTTGAAAGGGGGCAGCGAAGGGGGCCAGAAGGTTTTCTCTCCTCTCCTGTCCCGCGCCCCCCCCCCCTCCGCTCTCCCCAGCATAGGAAGAGGCGGTGGTAACAGCCGTCACCTAGAGAAAGCAGCAGAAGTTACTTTTGCGGTGAGCTCCTGGAGCACAGCAACTGTTCCGTATTCATCTCTGTATCCCCAACAGAGGGCTCTGCCTAATAGTAGGTGTTCAGTAAATTTCTGTTCTATTGAATTTGTTGTTGAAGGAGTAAAAGCTTCTAGAAACAGACGTTATCAAACAAAAAGCTAGTGGAACTCTTGGAAAAATGGGCTCCTGTGGTCTGGGAAACAAAACCCCTAAATGGCCATGTGCCAGCAACCTAACAGACCCACTCAGGCAGGCTTAAGCAGATTAACACCTACTGGCTTGGGTGAGAAACCCTTTTTGCCGGGGTAGCAGAAAAGAACACCCCTCGCACTCCCCTTCCTACCCGTGGGACCTCCAGTGAGAACTGCTGCTGCTTCTTTCTTTAGGAAACTAATAAAAGAAAATCTGTGCCGTTAACAGTTTGTGCTTCACTTTTAAGACGGCTCTAATTGCTTTTCATTCGCTGGTAAAACCATAACAAACCTTTTCTAGTGTCTAAGTCCCTAACTTTCTCTTCTTTTCCCCTCCCCATTCCTCTACTCCCATTTGAAAGTCTGAGGAGAGCGCTGGGAGCCCCTGATTTTTGAGAATCCTATAAAGAAAAGTTGTCCATGTTATAGTATTGAAATTGCTGGAGAGGAATATTTTCTTTCCTTTCCATTCTCATCAAAACATTTTATTCCCCCAATATTATTTTCCTGGAAGGGGTTTTAAACACAGGATAGAAAGGGTACTTGGAATATAACAGGCAGTCAGTAATGATTGTTGAATAATGATTGACTGATTGATCATCCAACCTAAACCAGACCTCATGCTAGTTTCTTTTTATACATCAACTCATTAAACCTTCACAATAATCTTTTCAGGTAAGTAGTATTACCTTCTTTTTTAGGTGAGAAAATTGAGGCCCAAGACTTGCTCAGGTAAGTGGCAGAGTTGGGATTTGAACCCAGACCTGCCCAGCTCCAACGCCTTTCCACAACAATCACTTCTAACAGTTGAATGTGCATTTGAATCCCTGGCATTCTTGTTATAATGCAGATTCTGATTCGGGAGGTTGGGAGTCTGCATTTTTAACAAGCTTCCCAATTATGACAATGCTGCTGGTCCGTGGACCACACTGAGTGGCAAGGCTCCGCAACACACTGCCTCCTGCCATGCACCCTGCATGCTGAGGGCCATTAAAAGCCAGAAGTTGAGAGGCTGGTGCATACTGGCCATGCACTTCCTTCAGATCTTGGGCTAAACTGTTTGAACCTTTTTCCCACTAGGATTCTATGAACCATCCCAGATGTTGCTCAGGTTTTGAGCTAACCTAAGCCTTTTGTTCATACCTTCCTGGGAAATAAGCCCCTTTAAGTATGTCCAGACTCTAGAGCCGCTCTGCCCTAAAACAGTAGCCACTAGCCATCGGTGGGTATTTAAATTTCAATGCAATTAAATATCCAGGTTTTTTAGTTGCACAAGCCACATTTCAAGTGCTCAGTAGCCACATGTTGTTAGTGTCTACTGTTTTAGACAGCTCAGATTAAAAATGTTTCTATCATCACAAGAAGTTCCATTTGAACAGTGTGCTTGACAATATTTGATACTAAACAAGCATTTCATGTAACCTTCAAGATGGAGACAGGGAAAGAAAATATTTT